AATGAAACCATATAGAATTGCATTTTCACCAGAGCAGAACTTCCTCAATATTGGAAGCAGAAAGGTTTGAAGGCATCACAACACACAGCAGAAAAATATTTTCTGTCTAAAAACACATTTTAGGAAAGATTGAAAATCTACAGAACTCGTACAAATTGATGTTCCCCCACAGAAACATCTAGAAAACATTTTTTCTGGAGAAAAAATGGTGAGAGATATGATGAGATCCAGTTGGTGCCAACAGCAAAGCATCCAGATACAATCCGTGTGTGGATTTATTTCTTATCAGCGGGATTGGGGTTTCATCCGAGACCAGAGCCAAGAATCCAGATAGGATCAAAAGAGCTACATATTCCAACAACCCGGAGCAATTTGCTGATCTGTGGGTTTTCCAGCATAATGCAGCACCATGTCACAAGGCTAATGTGATAACAAAACTGGCTCATAAATCAGATGACCGGAGGAATTAGGAAACTCCCCACATCTGAACCCGATGGAGAACCTGTGGCCAGTTCTTAAAAAGCCGATTGAAAGAAGAAGAAGAAGAATCAACGTTGGATTATCGACTCTTCACATGACATGATGTTATATCTGCCAATCTTGGAGCATAGCTATTTGTACTGAAATCGTATTCTTATCTAGTAGGCAAAATATTTCACATTCAGCTTAGTCATTAAAGTTTTCTTCATATTTTTCCAGTACATTCTTGACATATTCATGTAGCCTTAATATTACAGGTGAAAAACATCTGCAATCTGCACCTGATGTTTGTATTAGCATGTTTTTCAGCTGGTAGTATTCATATAAGCCTATGATAAACTGCATCCTATCAGTGTGGAAATTTGTTTGCAACAGAAGTCATCTATATATATATAAGAAAAGATGAACTGCAGTCTGCGAGAGGGACGAACTGTGTTTAAATGAAATCATCATCCAAACAGAGTAAGAAAATCATAGAATGCTGTATGTGGATGGAGTGATTTCCATACGTCTGCAACAGCTCTGCTGTTTCTGCTTCAGTCTGAAAAGACCCACCGGTTTACGGATGGCTCAGAGTGAACGTTTGTGTTTCAGGATCTGACCAACATCCTGACACTGGCCTCTTTACACAACGCTCCAACAGTAAAACGCAAACATTGTGTGGCCTTTTGGCCTCGTTTGCATGGTAACAGCGTTTTGATCGGACAGAAAAGCAAAGGTTAGATAACAGACTTCAGAGATATTAGACACCCAATGTGCATCACATCTATGTAAATGCAAACCAAACACATTTCCCAGTTTTCAGATGAACGATAGGGTTAGGGTTATTGGTGGTTCTGCTGCATCTCTCCAGATTATTTGCCGTCTTAAAGTAAAACTGGGATATATTTAGATAATGTCCTTCATTGAGAAGGAAATTACGATGCTGATATTCATGCAAATAGATTTTTTTTGCCATTTCATTTGAATCTCAAAAGGTGCGCCATCCCATAATGATCCCAACACCCAGGCCCAGATCCTCACCGCATCCTGAGGAGCTTGGACTCTACCAGGACGCAGGAATGAGTTCAAAGGTCACACTACCGCTGGTACTGGATTGCAGTCCTGGTATGAGGTTGGGACGGTCAGCTCTGCTTCACGTTTTAACGACGAAGCGACACCATCGTGTGCCGATGCCTGGTGATGGAAGCCCTTCATGTTCTGCCCAGAACCTGAGACGGTTCAGAGGTTCTGGACATTTTGTTCTTGCTGGAGGCCCTCAGGAAACCTTCAGGCTCTGCTGAGTCCAGTGAGGAACCCTCTGCATTCCTAATGGACGACTGACAACCTCACCGGGACCCTGCTGAGACCATTCATTAGATTTGATCTGATTTTTCATGTGTATTAGGGTCAGACGGACACCACAGAGTGTAGCAGGATTAAAATAACCCACCAGGAAGACTTACATTTTTACAAAAAGTCAGAATTTTACAATAACAGAAACATTTATATTCTCTGATTCAACATATTTCACAAGAAAATCTCCCACATTGTTCTTGATTGATTTTATAATAAAACTATTATTTCCTGATGATGTAAAGTCATACATTTGTAAAAAGAACAAAGAAACCCCTCAAAAATGACTACAAATCCAGATATTTTCAACAAAAAACTATGGAAGTCCTCTAAGATTGAAGTGGTAAATTTAAAAAAATACACATTGGAATATTTTCAAATGTTTAGGTGGTAGAACCTGTCTTAGAGAAAATCTGAGTTTTAATATCACAATTTATTCCCTTTAATTGTTAAATTTGACTTTTCAACAACAGATATCCATTTTTTTCATAATATGTGAAATTATTCTCAAAATGTCTAAGATTTTTGGGCCATAATTATTTTTATTTCTCTTTAATGGCCTACAATAGTTTATGTACCTACTTTGGAAGTGATTGTTCTGCAAATTAAAGCTAAAGTTACAGTAACAAAAACAGAGCACTAAAGAAAATAAGGATAAAATTCAGGACACATTCTGGCTCTTTGACCCGACTCTCAAAAGAACCAAGACTGGCATGAGATGCACTGCAGCCCTTGGTTGCTTCAGTTAAGGTCAGTAAATCCTTTTCTTTAATGAGAAAAGGATCAGAAAAAACAGCATTTATTGGAGCTTAATGGCTAAAATCATCGCTAACCATCAAGAACACAAAGACAAAAGAAAATGAGGATAACGGCAAAAGTATATGTTTCTGTGGACTCGTGAGACAAAGGCGGACCTGTAGGGAAGGTGTGTGTCCCACTCCGTCTGGTATGAAACTAGGAGAGCATTTCAAAAGAGACGATGCCGACTGTCGATCTCAGAGTTGATTTCCTCTTTCGGGACGTGGACAGGTGGATGAATCCTTGATTTCTACTCTTTTGGTCTAAGACAACATCTGGTCATCAGTGTGCGACCAATGATCCACAGCAGAGCACCAAGTCTGCTGCCTAATGGCTGAGAAGTTACACAAAGTGAAGGAAGGTTTGTGGTACAAATTGTTTTACCGCTGGAAATTTGTGGTGCAAACTTGAGCACAGTTCCACCCGTCCTGAGCAGTCCAGCTCACACAGCTGCAATGAAATGAAGATGTACACCATCTGATTTTATATACTCAGTAAAATGTCAGACGGAAACAAACACGTCTCCACTGTCTCTCTGCCGAGCTATTTTTTACACTTTATTAATATTTATGGGCAGTTTTAACTGCTGTGGCTTTTACAGCCCGGCTCCTAGCGCGCTGCATTTTATTAATATCATAAGGACAATGTCAGCAGAGGCCCTAAAAAGGGTTATGGTTATGACTGTGTGTGCATCTGCCTTTTGATAAGAGTGCAGTGTGAACAGTGGGTGGGTTGCAAATGTGTTTAAGTGCACATCTGTTAAATTGTGTGTTGGTGTGTGTGTAAAGGCTGTACATGTCAGCCTTTTCTTTTACTTTCTTCTTTGACCATTTTCTTAAGTTTCAACCATTTTTTCCTTTCCAAAGAGAGAAAGAAACAACCTGTAGTCGTAGATGGTTACTGCCACCTAAAGCAAGAATACAGATATGGATCCTTTAGTCCTCCAGGACACTTCGTCCCTCCCAGAAGTAAATAACAGAACGTTGTTGCTTGAGACGTATTTTGTGCGGAGCAGTTCTTTAAACCAAACCTACAGCAAACCTTTCATCGGACTGATAAATCCTCCTCATTTCGTTTGTTCTCTGCATCCATTTTCCTCCTGTCCGTCTTCACCCAGCCTCTCCTCCATTCCTGTCTGAACAAATCAGCCAGTTGGTGATGGAGGCCACAGCTGCGCCTCTGAAGGCCTTTTTGCTGCATAACTTTTACTAAATGGTTGGAAAGCGTACACTCGACTACATATGCAGTTATTATATGTAGTTTTTAAATGCCAGTGTAGATTATTGGTCAAACAGGAGTTTAAGTAATTCGTCGTCTTCTCTTGCTTTTTGAAGATGTTTCACTCCTCATCCAAAAGCTTCAGTTCTGAAGAAGGTTTTAGGATGAGAAATAAAATGTCCTGAAGAAACAGCAATTCAAGTTGCTTTCTACTCAAACACTTAAGATATGCTATTTTAATTTTTTCAAATCTAACCTTCAGTGTGTACAGTCATTCATTATTTCTTAAAGATAAAGTGTGTAAAAAGCCAACTGCCAGAATGATGACATCATTGGGCAGCAGCACTTCAAAAAGTTTCAAGATGGCCGCCTAACCCTTCTCTTTTCTCTAAGCTCATCACAGCTTTTCTTAGCTTAAATTTAACAAAAGAAAAAAAAAACATTTGTAAGATAAACAAAATGAAAAGTTTGTTTTTGTTTTGCATTTCAGGAATACAAAACAAACTAATACAAAGCAAATCATTTCAGATATTAACTTCCTTGTACAGCTCAAAATTACAATAGATACAAAATATCTGCATCTAGATAACTAAACAGGGCCTGCAAAAACTTTAAAAAATAAAATAAAGTAAGGAAAGTAAAGTGGGGACTTAATATGAGGACACAAAGAAGCTAAATTCCTAGCTTGTTTAGGCTAACAGAGATTTATTTTTCACTCAAATCATGAACTAATCCAATGTGTTTGTCTTCTTCTGGGTTTTTGCTCTGTTGTCATCATCGGCCTCACCTCACCATGCTTCAGAAGACATGCTTATTCCTACTCTTATTACCTGTAAGTAGAGACTTCACATCAGGAACTACTGCTTTCTCAGACCATCGTACGTTCTTTCTGTTCGAATGTTTGTCCTGTTTAGCTTTCATCACACTTAACTTTCTAAAGTAATAATTAAGAGCATGGCTAAAAAATTATCTCATATTTTAGGACAAACACTGCATCCTTATTGCAAAAACACCTTTGAACATCAGTAAAACTAACATTTAGTATTACATCTCATTTAGTTTAATGTCTCAAAATGTAAGTATTTGTTGTAGAAATTGACAAGTTTATTCTCATTATGTCAGGGTATTTAGTTTTGCACATTTTACAATTTTTCAAGTTTGTGCAAAAGTAGGATCAAATACATATTTCCATTTTTGAAGGGAATCTATGTGGGAAAATAAAATACTTTCCCACTTCAGGGAGAAAAAAACTCAAGTATCCTCAGATTTCACATCCACTTGCTGACATTTTCACTGAAGTTTTCTGCATTTTGTATGTATTTTTTTACAAAACCTGCCTTTAGGCTAAAGCTGCAGCATGTAAAGCACATTTTATTAAAAAAAGGTATGTGTTTGTTAAAATTGTTACCATGTAGTGACGGTTTTAGCAAAGATGAGACAGAGAATCTGTGAAAAGATCAAACTCCTCCAGCTCCTCCCTGAGCTACTATTTCTGTCTGAAGAAATGCACCGCTCCCGACCAAAAACAACCAATCAGAGCCAGGAGGAGGGCTTTAGTGCTGTCAATCATCCTCAGATATGTGCTGTTAAATGTGCTAATGGCGGAGAAACAACCATTTCTCCGCCATCCTTGGTGTAGTGAGCCGTCACTGCAGGCTCTGCCAGCTGCATCACACAGACAGAGGGAATGGGCAGCGCCACATGAAGGTGATTGACAGCATTAAAACCCACCTCCTGCCTCTGACTGGTTGTTTCCAGTTAGCACTGGGAGAAGGCAGAGGGTCTTTTTTCACCTATCTCTCTCCTACCATGCTGTCATAACATGGTGACTATTTCAACAAATATGTATAAAATGTATTTATTTATAAACGTTACACACTGCAGCTTTGATGTAAATACTGTGGACTGGTAAAGAAAACCTCCCTGACTGGCCTGTAAAGGTTTCCAGTAAAATACCTCAGAGTCGTTGGGACGGATCAACCTCCCCCAGGGAACCAAACACAACGCTCTTTACTGTTTCACACAACTAACCTTGAATCCACACGGAAACACTGAACCATGCTGGTTTGGTCACACAGAGAAACTTTGGTCAATTTCAATCTCACCAATTCAGCACCACATTATTTTGGCCATGCACTTAAACCACTGCATGCCTGTTTATTTCCTCCAGGAATTAAGGGTATGCATAGTCACAGACATCACATATCATGAATATTTAGCTGCCTAAAGTTTTCAGGAGAACTTGAAAAGTGATTGGAGACCACTTTAAACAATATTTGGCAGCTTCGATGAAAAATATCAAGAAATAACGACACGACTGAATCGTTTCCCATAATATTTGAGAAATACTTCAACATCTGTTTTCTAAATTTCTTTCAACTAAATTCATGACTAGGTTAAAAACCTAAAACTTTTTTAGTACAAACTGTAATTTTGTTGCAGGCTAATGTGTTATAAACTTATTTTATTTGTTTGTCCTATGATATAATTTGTTAAAATATTGTGATAATTTCCACACATGCTGACGCAGAAGGGAACATTTGAGTTCAGCTTCGTCCTGCATGCCCTGCCTCTTAAAGAGTCTCACCCTAAAAGGTCAATGTAATTCACTCTTATCTCCTTCACCAAGTGGCCATTTCCTGCTTATTAACCACTTCTAAGGAAGAGCTATTATAGCTGTCTTAAGGCATGCACAAGCACGTAATGACACACTCACACACACTTTTACATGCTTACCTGTGTGCACGTCTGCACTCTTTTTGCCCTGAGCTCATCTGAAAATCCCTGCAGAGAATCTCTGCTTCTCAAAGAGTCTTCAAAGGCCTGGGAAACTCTCTAAATCTGGCGTGAGTCCTAACTAAGTGGGAAAACCTTTGCCTGGCCAAACTTTCTCCTAAAACAGCCCCCCTAAGGCAGCAGCTAAAACTGCTCCTTTATAGAGAGAAGCTGATGCATCTGGAGGGACAGCATTCAGCAGATTGTTTTTAACTTTAACTATATTAGGGGCACATATGGAGGGGTAATAACAGATTGTAATGAGTTTCAACAAGAAGGATTACTTTAACCAAACCTATTACTATCAGCTTCACCCCAATAGTTTCCTGGATAACTTGATTTTCTGTAGTCACCAATATTTTATTATTTTAAGCAACACATGAGCATATAACAGCCTTTAGTCAAAAATAGGAGTAAAACTAAATATATCTTCAAATGTGCAATAAATAATAAAATAAGTTAATGTCAGATCCATTCATTAACTCATTACAAACAGATTCTTAAAGGCTTTTATCGCATTAATTAAGGTGAATATATGAAAACATGACATTAAAATTTGGAATATTACATCAGACCATTTAAAAACCCTTATTACAGAAATGAGAGCTTAAAGGAAAGTGTGGTTAATACCTGCTTAGACGTACATTTTTAATCAGACAAACGAGGCTTATTGGAACAAATATTTAAATTTATTAAATATGACTGTATGTGGAAAAAACTCTCCACTTCTAAATAAAACAGTTCACTGCAGTTTTTGAAAGAAATATCATGTCTTTAAGCAAATTCTTACCACTGTAACTTTAACAGCAGATATTCATCCTGCAGTGTTTACTTTCCTTTTATTTTTATTTTACCAAGAAGTCCAGTTGTAAATATCTTCAGCTCATTTATTGAAAGCAGCTGTTGCACCATGAAGCTAACTGAATAGCAGAAATGCTTCTATGAATCCACAGTCAATTTAAATAAAGCAAAACTGATTTATTATGCTGTTAAATAAATCTAACTGCAGGTGAATACGCTTACATTCACCTCTACAGGGGTAGCCTGAGGAGCCGTCATATGAGGGGGGAATTTAAATGTGTTGGGCTGATGCATGCCTGCAGTGTGTGTGTGTGTGTGTGTGTGTGTGTGTGTCTTCACCGCAGCCTGTAGCCCTCCATCTCGCCCTCCCTTGTCTGGGTTGTGATACTCAGATGAAAGTTTGTTTGGGTTTCGCCTGCAGCCTCCTCTGGAGCTACCGCTGTCATCCTGAGGTGACTGACTGCCTGTCTGACTGCAGACTCTAGCAGGGGATGGCTGCAGGATATTTGAGTTATCCAGCTGCCAGCCGACTGGCTGAGGCCGGCCCGACCATAATACAGGAGTCTCTGCCAATTCCTTGACAAGTGAAACAAATGTTGCTCCCCTTGTTTTACTGGACACCTCCGGGTCGGCCTGTGGATCCGCCAAGCATCGACTGAAATGAATGCAATCCCCTGTTCAGGTTCATTTTTTTCTCTTTTGAAGAAATAGTGATGGTCAAGCTGCAGGTGAAATACTCTCGCTTCTGATGAAGACCTGGTAAAAACTCCACATATCTAAGAAACTCCAAAAGAAACAGATCTTGTTCTGAGAGGAATTCATGCCACATTAGTCACAGAGAAAACATATTTTTCTCCTTTGTGCTTCTGTAATCAGGACAAAGTAACTTGGTTGCCACCATTTAAAGAAAAATTAACATATTGGACTACAAATAAAATCTGTCCTGTCAAGTCATGATTCCCTGATTAGCTTTGAACTTTTAGTGTAAAGTTAGCAGCCAAGAGATTTTATTTTCCTGTAGGTTAAAGTAGAAACAGAACCATAGGCGCAGATTTCAATGGCCAAGACTTTAGGACTTTGAAGATCCTTTCCTCTAACATTCATTGCCACCTGTATGGTTGACATGTTCCTCGCATCAAGACCTGCTTTGTGAACATAAAAGTAATTGCTGATTTTTGATAGCTTATTAATAAATTGCTGGGTTTTCAACCATCACCTTGTTCTGACTTGACCTGGACAAAAACAACGACTTAATATTTACTAGCAGGACAAAGGATTTTAGGTCCAAACCAAATATCTGGGCAGAGACTTTGGAGTCTCACCTGTTCTCTTCTGATTGGTCACCACAGTCAAGACAGTTAGCTTTAATTGAGCAAAGGATCAATCACGCAGCTCTTAGTTAATCATGAGTAACATTGGACTTTAAATTGGTTTCTCTCTAGAAGTCTAAGGATTTTTCCAGAATTGTTGCATCATTTTATACAGTTGAAGGATGACTGCTGTGCATGAATGACTTCTCTAAAATGCTTAAAATTTAAAACTAATATGCGTTATTCCACACAGTAGAAACTGTTTTGGATTTTACCGCCAACATCCATGGTTTCCCTCATCACCTTTCTTAGAGGTTCACCCAATCAGAGCCAAGGAAAATTAATGGCACTTTGTGAAAAAATGTAAATATTAGCTAAAATTAAATGGGGAAAATATCTCTATGTTTTTATATCTTCACTGAAAATTATAAAAATATAGACTTCTGTATTCCTGGATGTTATCAATCACCTTATGATACTATTTTAATGAAGTCCTGTGCTACCAGTCAACCAAAAATATCACTAGTTTTCTTTTTTTTTTCTGGATAGAAAAACATTTACACTTTTCTCTTTGAACCAAGTTTTCCATTTTATCCTTAAGAATTTAGTTGAAAAAGAAAATGCACACATCTTTGTCTGTCAGCCATTCATGCATTCATAGGTACATTGTTGTTCTGATGTCCTGGTTAATGTGAGTTTTATCAGTGTGACCTGTCGATGCAGCAGTGGGTCAGGAAGCTGCAGACTGCTCTATTGGTTTAATATTGATGCATTATTCCAAAAAGGACCCACTTCAAATTAAAACGATCCCGAATCGTTATGGTTCATTCTACGTCATTTCACCCTCTACAATTAAGCATAAAATAAGGAAGTCTCTTTATTCTGTAAAATGAATAACCTTCAGTAATGAGTCTTTTTTTAATGGAAACACGGCTTTTGGGAAATG